AAGAAATGTCCATATAAATATTCTTTAATTTTATTTAAGCCAAAAAGTATTGCAAGGACTTCTCTTTCAATTTGGGAATATTTTTGTTCGGACTTTGATAATGTACGCGAAGCAGAAGCTACAGATTTCTCAATATTTTTTTCAAAAACATGACATCATTGCCCTTATTCCCACATTTAATGCATCTACGAATAATTTAATCGGCAACTCAGGTTGAAAATGCACAAGAGCATCATTTGTTTTAATTTATTTCAAAGATTCCTTGCAAGAATTATCCCAAATCCATTTCACCCATAAAAAAATAAAATAAAAAAGTCCAAAAGCAAAATCATATCCTCCTTCCTGTTAGTGACTTAAAAAAATTACTTCCCAAAAAACGGTCCTTAAGCCAGGTCCCTCCATTTTGTGGCGATAGTACTGTTTTTTTTTTATTGTGATTATTTTCTTCGCGGAGCCCTCACAAAGGCTTTGCGGAGCCCCAGGGCTCCGCGGAGCACACTTTGAGTAACACTGTTATAGAGAATTACTAAATAAATAGTTTTGAGAAAACTATTGAAACCAGTTGTGAAGTTTGAAACGAATAAATTGGCAATGAAATTGATATTTTTGTATTTGATTGTATGGTTCTCTTTTCACTTCCAAAAAAAAGATTCCCCATGAAACAAGAAATAGTAAACAGTTTATAATAATAACTTTTATTTGCTACTTATAACATGTACCAATGACCAAGTCCGATTCTGTTTATTTTCAAATCAACAAATATGGACGTCGACAGAATCCTTAAAAATTAAATATCTCACCGAAATAAATGTAAGTATCTTTTATCTCCGTCACATTTCGCAGGTTTATTATAAATAAAGCTTTTTACAACACATCTTGGCATTTTCAACGTTAATTTCCAAAATTTAAGTCACTAAAATACCAAATTAATTCTCGTTGACACATTAAATTTGGATGGACAACGCTCTGACATGTGATGTTCTCAACTGTGATTGGTGGGTGTGAATCATTTCGAAATGGGATTATGCGCAGTGTTTTATGTTCCATCTAAGGTTTGTATAATCTAAGGGTATATCTAAGTGTGGCGACATACGGTGTATTCTATCTACTTTACGTAAAATCATGAATAATGGATTACATTTAACGGTGCTCAAGCGTTTGCTCGATAGCATATGTACATATGTACAGATCTCTTGTCTTGATAATTGTAGACTGTTATTAGTCGTTCTTTTTTGACGTCATAGGGTTTTATACACCAAGGATAATAAACTCTTACTCTTAAGTCCAAGTTCAACGCGTTTTTCAATGACAAGAGACGGCGACTTTGTTATCACAAAAAATACAGCTCCGAACGGTAATATTTTCAGAAAGTCTTTTTAAAATGGGTTCAGAATACGGTAAAGAATAGTGGAAAGTCTATAGTTTGTTTTACTTTTTATGCATAATATTTTAATGAGTGATATTTAACAAATATTTAAAAGTTATGGACTTTCCACCATTTTTTGTATTTAAAAGCTAAAACGCAACAGTGCTAATTCGAGACATACGTTTTATTAAACTCATCGTGTTACGAATTTCTTACATTAAGAGATAGAAATTTAAAGTGACGTCTTGTATTACTTCGAATAAAAAATCGTTTTCTAAATTAAGAAAAAAGTTGAGATGGGTCTTAAGAAGGAAGCTTTAATATTTTGCATTAGCATTAGGATTATCGCAACCTGCAACAACACAGCTCACAACTCTGACAGCCAATGAAAAACTGATGCCGCATCAAGGCATCCTGTTGCTCTACCAACTTGGGCAACGACATCTTCTTCATTTCAGTGATGGGCACTTTTTGTCAACGTTGGGCTGTGGGTGCTCCGCACCCAGTTTAAAATTGGTCTGGGTGCTTGCGCACCCAGAGCCCCGAGGATTCGGCGCCGATGTATGTGTAACAATAACCGATGAGTATACAACAAGGTTTACAGTTTAAACTAAGTCTACATTTTAACTGCCCTTTGTACAACCCGCCATATGTACAATTAAAAATTAATTGTATTTCTTTAAAATGCGTTTGATTCTAATGATTAAAACCATTCGATAAAAAATTAAAAAGTATGGGTATAAAGGTGGTTTTTTATATCTATGCTATAAAGCATGAATTGGAGTAGCATGAAGATTATCTAAGTAGCAGGTCAAAGAGGTTAAAATTAAATAAAATATGCAGTAGGATTCTCGTCTTTCAGTATGTCTCCTATCGAGACTCCTATCTTCGTTCGAAAGACAGCGATTTTAATGTAATGTCTCTCTCTCTCTCTATTCTGTATGTAATGTGTCGAGTTTGCACAAAAGAATCGCTGTCCTGATCAGAAGAAATTAACCATATCAAAGGAAGAAAATTAGGTGCCCTGTTATTTTTAATTTATATTAATGATTGTTGATGTAGGTAGCAATAATCAATATGACATTTACCTGTTTGCCTACGATGTCCTTATCTATGTTTCTTGTAAGTTGTAAGGATTCAGATAACTTAGTAAGAGTTAATTGTCAATGAAACTCTGAAAATCTATAAATGGTGTTGCAATCATTTGTTAAAAATCAACACAAATACCTAAAACAAAACATATGCTGATAAGTAATAACTATGTGCAGTTTGTGGACAAACAATATAGGAAATTGAAAGAAATTCTATACAGTTAGTAGAAAAATTCAAATATTTAAGTATAATTATTTAGAAATAGAAGAAATTCATAGACCATATCCAAATACTGTTATCAAAATAATTGCAGTTAAATTACATTTCCTATTTAGAATTTGATTATAATAATTGTTATATTATTATATTTTTTTACTAAATTTGAATATTTATGATATTAGCAAACTAGCAAAATAAAGAAAATAAAAACAAAATAAAAACCGTAAACCTACCTGGATCTACAATAATAAATAAGTATATTTTATCTTTTAATTTAATAAAGTCCATTAAATTGAAATGACACGTCAAACCATATACGTCAAACTTTCAAAATAAACATACTAGTGTTGTGTCCCAAACAGAAAATACCATTTATAGAATAATTTATTTACTTTAGACCTTTACCCGCACAACACGTCGCCCCTCACCATGGAGCATGGTCAAATTGGGCTAAGCCATTTTACATTCCTCTGCATAGGGAGCGATGTTGCAATTTTTCACTTTAGTGTCTATTCCGTCTGTTCAGATGGCAGCATCTTATGGGCCCTACATTTATTAAATCTTATCACAAGATTCCTGAAATTATTAGGCAAAAATAAAATAATGTATTTTGCGTTTTAACTTTTAAATACTATAAAAAATGATGGAAAGTCCATTACTTTTAAATATTTGTTAAATATCACTTATTAAAATATTATGCATCAAAAGTAAAACAAACTATAGACTTTCCACCATTCTTTACAGTTTTTTGAACCCATTTATGAAAACAGTTTTTGAAAATATTATCGTTCAGAGCTGTATTTCTTGTGATAAAAAAGTCGCCGTCACTTGTCATTGACAACGCGTTGAACTTGCTCTTAAGAAACATCTGGACGGTTCGAGAAAGTTCAAAGCAACTATATTAGCCGATAATCCGATGTCGCAGTTCAGTTTTATGACAGATTGTAAAAGTTAAAGGTATTTTTTAGCGAGTGTATGGTTTAAAATATTTTCGACTGTTTTAAACCGTTTAAATTTTAGTGATGCAACTATGACGTCGCGTACGCAATATTTTAAACCAAAGCTAGAATTTTTGAACCAGTCGGAGGCATATGGTTCAATAACGGTTGACACATAAGAGATTCTGATTGTGGCTGTTGTATGTTGTTTTGCTCTGTTCCATCTTTGAACATTTTGATATATTTGACGTTTTGTTGATTTTTATTGATTTTTGATAACTTCATACATATATTATGTGATTCATATTCATACATTAATTGGTTATAATGTTTTAATAAAAATATTAATATTTATGGTCATCATAAACAGTTGGACAATGTGATCTACCTATGGGTTACTCTTGATTATGAAACAATAATTCAATTAAAGTAAGGTTAAAGGATTACTTATCAATTGTACGTTTTTTACAAAAATAACTACGTAGTTTGCTTCAGATTCTGAATTTGCCAGCAAATATTTAAAAGCAATTAAACGTTCTTTGGCAGTTGATGAACTTTGGAAAAGCCCAACAAATCTACAGTAAATAATCGTTAGACAATCGCGTATCTGTGGAACTACGGAATAAATATGATACCATATGTTTATTGACAAGAAAAATACCAAAAATAAAATAATAACGTTTCAGATTCCAATGTACCTATTAAAAACACTTCAATTTTTACTTAAAATCGCTATCAAACACTTATCTTCCTTCATCTGATTTAACAATCATTAAAAAAAAAATACGATCAAAAAAATTTTGTCATATAACAGATTATATTTTTAAAACACCCTATTTTTGCCATCTATTAATTCATGACGTCACTTTAAATATTTTAAACCAATGTGGTGGCGTAAAAAACAACTTAAGTTCGAAATAAATGGAGCTACATAAAACCAGCGTAACCCTATTTAGAAATCCGCCACTGGGGGTCGATTCTCGACTCGTAGGAATATTTTCCTATAGGAATTTTTGACATTTTTACATACATTGAAAATTTATGACATTTTCCTACATATAGGAAAGTGTCACAAATTCCTATAGGAAAAGGTTCCTACAAGTCGAGAATCGATCCCCTGGTAGCAAAACACAGTTCATTTAATGTAGTGGTTAAATTAGTATTCAAAATGTCAGTTTGAAGCATTGTAACATTTTTTCAATAATTACCTACATCCCACTATCCAACCAGTAAGAGTCCATTTTGCTAATGTAATGCACTAGTATACCTAATAAAACATAATATAATCCAGGTTTAAAAGCTCTTGGAGTATTATGTAATAATTCATGTTTAAAAGGTACTAGAGTAATACGAATCCAAATTAACAGTTTTTTTTTATTTTTTAGGTACTCACATCACCCTAAATTTTTTTTCGTCTAACTCTTTTACTTATAATATTGACGATTGTATTCTTTATTCGCTACAAGCTTTTGATTATGAAGTCCCAACTCAACGAAGTTATTCCATGCTTATTATTGATGGTACCACAACAGAAACCCAAGTTAAAATATACATTACAAATATCGATGATGAAGTACCAATTCTACATTGCCCAAACTGTATACTTGATGTAAGTACCTTTACATAACTGTAGTATAATAATTGAATTCAAGGTATACTCGTATAGATGAAGGTAAAGATATTTTTTCTCTTTCGGTACAACAAAGGGATTCATATATAGATATCTTTAAGCAAAGCCCAGGGACAAATCTAATTAGTTGTATGTTACGCTATAACTTAAAATTATTGTATATTTCAAGTGGAAATGTTATACGCATTTAAAAAGTATCACATTATTCGCATTATTTTCTAACTTTAATTAGGTATTTAATAAATGTTACTAAATTTAGTTTAAAAGGCAAAATTAATCCGAAATAAATATTAGCGACTTGTAATCACCATGTAATCACCATGAAACTATGTTATTTTCATATACTATTTTTTTGATTTGATTGAAGTATTTAAATATAACATTGAATAATAAAAATCAATTTAGAATTTTACAAAAAAATGCTTGAACAACTGTTATTTGTATCCTCTTATTATAAAACAATTAAATAATTTTGGAATTTATTAGTCTGGATTTAATTTATAAAGTGATTAAAGCACGCAAGCCTTCTCACCACGTCAAGGTTACATTCCTAGAGAAGGAAAACAGAAACAATATTATGTTTCTTTCCAAAATAACGTGGTTACGTTTAGTAACGTGAAAATATAACTAAAATGGAAAATCAAATCTCATCGGAACAATCATCTTCACTTGACGTGTCATTCAGGTTTATAATGCAAGAATGAGCCGGAAATACCCGATATTTATTTTCAATTTTGGTATTATTGAGAACACAATTGGACCATAATTCTTGAGATATACCTCCAACACCTTCTCTAATAACATCTAAAACGCTTTCAGACAACGCAGGAATAATTTTTTTTTTCTTACCTCCCTTTTGATGTTACTCCAAATTAATTCTATTGCATTTAATGTACAATAATACGGTGGTAAGCGAATTACGGTATGACCGAATGTCGTAGCCATCTCATCTACAACAGAGCTAGGTTTGAGATTCAAGCCTTTTAATATTGCAAGCCAATCTTTCTTTAAAGCTGTAGGTGAATATGATACACCCATATTATAATACGTTATCTTCTATTTGGAGGAGAATTTATAGAATATTAAATTGATCACTCCATCCTTTTTTCACAATATCATGAGTGCGTACAGTCTCATCAAGATACACTATGAATCTATCTTGCCGACGAGCTTCCTCTATGTTAGTAAGGTATTCATTACGTAAAATCATAATTCTTTGAGATTCCATAATATGCTGTATTTTATTTAAGGTACGATATCTAAAACCCAAAGAATGGGGCACTTTTCTAGTGGTTTTATCAGATTTGTAAGGGAAACCGGAAACCCACTTGATTTCATTTTTAATCATTTGAAATGATGGTACAATATTGTTACACTACACCCTGCACTGGCCTGAGTCCGTTATAGGAAACGTACAACTACAAAACGAAGTGCAATGTCACCCATCAAACTATAGTGTGCTGCGATTGTCATAAGTAAAAGTACGAGTAAAAGAAGATAGAATAGTCCAGAAATGTCATTACTTGTCAAGAAAATTCTAGGAATTTCGAGCTATATAAGCCGATGATCCTGACGTCAGTTTTCAGTTTTATGATAGACGTTATACGTAAAAGTCGAGTTGAAATAAATTGAGATACCAAAAACCTGCGTAACATTGGTGACAGCGGTGGGATCCAATTAAAGTTACCCAATCATTTTATTAATGGTAAATACTAGATCCACTGTTCACGACACGGATATGGATACTTCAGGCCCACCAGCGTTGTTTTTGAAGATGGAAGAGGAAAAGGAAAGGCGTAGGAAGGAAGAGGAGGAGGAAAAGGAAAGGCGTAGGAAGGAAGAGGAGGAGGAAAAGGAAAGGCGGGAAGAGAAGAAGGAAAGACTTATTAAGAAAGAAGAGGAGGAAAAGGAAAGACGCCGGAAGGAAGAGGAGGAGGAAAAAGAAAAGCGCAGGAAAGACGAAGAAAAAGAGAAGGAAGAGAGGTGTAAAAAAGCTGAGGTAGATATTATTAATGGTTTGCTGCAAATTCAAGAAAACGTTAAGCAAGAGGTAGGTCAGCTAAACAGCCGAGTAGATCTCTTAACACAACAGCAAGATAATTTAAAAGCATATTTAGAACAGCAACAAGAGAATCCAAAAACTAATTTGGGTAACAACTGAATAGTACTACAATTAAAATCCTCATGTATGGAGGGGTAGATTACTTAATTTAGACACAAAACTTGCGGCGGCAGGTGTTAGATATACACAATACACTAACAATTTTGTTTTATTGGACGAAATTTATATCCATAAATCTTCAGCATCCGAATGGAACTCAGGAACACTTACAGGGTTCAGATTATGGCGATTAAGGAGCCACCAGCATCGCTTTTTTCGTTGATTGAGGTATTTCGATCGCGACGAAATACGTAATCAATTATATTTTAGATTGACGATTTCAGAATCAAAAATGTTATACTTCAACCAGGATTCAGTAATGCAAAGAATATCGGGATTATGTATTGCTACATTTTGTTTAAATTCATTTAATTTTGTGCATAGTCATTGCCCATTTTTATATAGGATGTTTAGAGCCATTGGTTAAAGTAATGACGACAGAAAATTACTAAAAATTATGAGTCGTTTATATAGGGTATCCCAATAAAAAGTAGCCCGTTTAAAATTTGATAAAATTTGGTTACAGTGAATTTAAAAGAGGAGATTTTTAAAAAACACCCTGTATAGGTAATACATAATTTATCTGTGACTGAAGCAAAATTTGTAGCAAAATAACATATCAGCAAAAACCTTATGTAACTGTTTAATTTGTAAATGTGTTCATTTTTAAAATATCTTTGGGAAATATCGATTCTAAATCCATTTGTTTTCGTTACTTTTGCGAGCGTTTTTAGGTGTATTTTCTATTTTAGTTCGCACTCTATACGTTGTGTCAATCATGTAATCTTCAATCTAATATTTAAAAAAGTTTCCTTTATTTTTGATTAAGTTAACAAGATTTTCTTTAGGTTTTTTGGGAACATCTTGATTTCAAAATATTTTATACCACCAGAATTTTAATTTCTATATTTAGATCATATTTTAATTTAGGTTTTTCAATTTCTTTAAAATAATTATCTAGCTTTAGTAATTTTTTCAAAATCGAAAATTTTGTATGAGTAAAAATCCACTAAATCTTGAAGAATAGATATTTCTTGTTTAACTGAATGAATTAAACTAATCGTATCATCATTATAAACATTACCGTCATTTAAATTTTTACCATGATGTGAGTTGCCAGTAGAAGCAGCATCGGCAAGAATAACAATAAGCCATTGGCATTTTATTATTGAAAAACGAGGTATTCACTATTTTTGTTTTTAAAGTTTATAATAACTATTACACACAATAATTTAAGTATAATTTGTTATTTTTCTCTCGGTTAAAAAGGATTTTACCAGAGAGCGTTTTCGTTTCAACCGTCACTGACTGTAGGTAACTGTGTCTGCTTTATTTAAATATATTTTATTTAAATATATTTTATTTAAATATATATTATTTAAATATATTTTATTTAAATATATTTTATTTAAATATATTTTATTTAAATATATTTTATTTAAATATATTTTATTTAAATCTATTTTATTTAAACCAATTTTATTTGGTGTCATTGGCATCGACTACTAAGGCCATTAGCCTCGTGTTATGTTTAAGCTTTGTTACTGTTTGGGGAGAGTTGATACAGTTATGGCATTAAAGAAACCAAATGGAAGCTTCACGGAGATTGAGGAGGAAAGAGCTCGCCTCTTACTCCAAACTCACTTTCCTAGAAGCACACATTTTTTAATAAGGGACACAACTAAGGTAAGGAGACCCCCAAGAGAGGCCGCTGTAGTGGCCAAACACATATGCAGCAGAAATCGATTAAGGTGGGCCGTTTAAGTCTTCAGGTGTGTGTAACATAGATATGTAGCATAGATATCACCCTACATATACATATAAACTTGTAATCCAGAGAGTTGTCATTAATATATTTTACTTGTCAATACTGCATCGTCCATCATTATAAATTATTATTTTACATGGTGTCAGAAGTCGGTCTGAATAGGTGAAACCGGAAAAAAAGTACGAAAAAACATGGAAATATCTGGGTATTATACGCCGACACTCGAACGGCGGATATAACTATTGAAATGTTATAAAGAGTTTCTAGACACTTTGAAACACACTATACATAACAATTTTGGGTCCGCAACACTTATTAAAAAAAAAAAAAAAAAAAAAAAAGTTTACCTTAAAATCCAAAATCCTTAAAATTTGTTGTCGGGTCTCCATCATAAATCAAATGTAAAATAAACCATTTTCACTGATTTCTTGTTGTATAAACGGCTAAATATCAATATAAGATCATTCATAGAGCAATAAACCGTACCAAATTTTTTCATAAACGATCAAATTTTCTTATTTTTCATTTTTAGTTTGTTAGAAAAATAAATAAACACTAAATTATTTTTAATGACAATTGATGTGTCTAGTTTCTATAAATGCGGTGTTGCCAAATCGAGTAAGAAAACATATAAATCAGGAAATAATTCGGTTAGTGAAAGTTGGCTGAAAAATTACATGGTGTCTGGGTAAATTTGGCAGGTAAATTTGGATCTCGAACATTTGTAGTAATCAGAGACAACCGTCTTTTTATTTCATTTCATGATGATTGTACGTTAATTACGGCATGTCGGTAATTATCTAATATTTAAAAAAAAATTCAATTTGAGCTGTGTCCAGGCCGTTGGAGTTTATGCCGGTCGGCCTAGCCAGGTATGGTTTAAAAATTTTCTGGTGGCGGCGAAGCCGCCACCTTGCAAGAAGTCGTTCCTTTATTTTCTTATTGTATATTTTCTTATTATTTGATGCTCACGATACAAGACACGTTCGTTAAAAGTTGGGATCGAAGTTCACTGGCCAGACGCTAATGAGGGTTGGTTAGGTTAGGTTA